AACGAGGATATCTGTCCCCAAAGGTATTGACACCATACTTGCAGTCAATAGTGATGCCCTCCACGAGAATTCACAGCTTTCATGTTGAAGCTGTTTTTGAATTGACAGTGGTCGAACGCATCGACCGACCTTTTTTAAATTTGCGTGTTTATAGATGAAATTTTTCATAAAAAAATGTTGTTCTGCTCCGCGTATTCTTCTGAATACAATGGACTTGATCATCATTCCTTCAAACTGAATACTCTTTATGAATAACCTTGACGGAGTTTATTAGTTTGCCATCTGATAATTCATGTTTCATTTTATTTGTCAGCTTTAGGATTATGGATGCATGGTTTGCATGATTATTCACCCGTTATTCTTCAACAAGCCCGCAATGCCTGGACTCGCCACTCTACGGCGAGATCACAAGCTTCGTCGATAGTGAGCGAACGCGCAGTTTATCGAGAGACGAACGTCTATTGATACTTCGCATGCATGCACACTTACGCTGTAACAGGGCACACGCAGAGGAATGAGTAGGTAACAGGAAGAATGAATTGGCTGAGTTATGCTATCTAGCTCTGCTACATGAACATGGAAAGTTAAGGCGACTCGTGAGGAGAGTCGCTAGTAATCCAGGCGACTTGTTGTGAGGTCGCCTGCAACCTTTGGATGGTCATCTTCAATGTCAATGAATATCTTTGACATGTGTACGGATAACAGTACCGTAGAACTGTTACACCCTCCCCCACTCAAAACGAAACCAACGGAAGTCGTATTGTGGAGAGGTTGTGATGGACGCGCGTGACTCGATGGGTTCGGCCATCAACATTGTCGGAATGTCGGGGGGTTCAAACAATCGCAAGGCGAACGAGATCGCCCCCGGTGGTAAAGAAGGCGAAGTGCTTCTCGTCGACTTGACTGGCGAAGAAGAGGCGGAAACGCCTGAGCCGTTCGAGGCAGTGCAAGGGGCCTCCAGTTGGATGAAGGGACCTTGGAAGGTGCTCTCCAAACGTTGGGGTCGTTGGAGGCCGTGGAGCAATTGTTGCGTGAACGCCGCGAAGAAGAAGCGGCACGGAAGGCCGACGAGGCAGAGCGGGCTGTTCAAGAAGTGCAGCGTCGATTGCGCAAAGTGCGGAAATGCCCAGTGCTGCGACGACGACGTGGAACTTCGAAGAGCCCGCGGCGATTGTGCCGCGGGAGAACTTTTGGACCTTGGAGGATCTTGAATTCGCGCGAGTTCGAATGGACGAAGTTCAATTCGTGGACGACTCGGGCGAAGCGTTTAGGATGGGCGGAGTTGGCGAAGCAACATTCGAATACGTAAGCGACGCCACGAGCGACGTCAGTGTCGTCGACGAAGCCGACGAAGCCGTCAAACCAGCGCGGGTGTTCGAAGCCAACGCGTATTTGACAGAGTTTGGGCGAACCCATGATGACTTCGAGGGCCACCTCGTTTGGATGCTGAACGCCGTAGCCACGATGACGATTGTGGCCGCTGATGAACGAGGGTTCGCGCGCTACAAGGACCGCATGCGCGAAGGCGATCCAGGTTGGATGCTCGACGTGGGGCACGTCGACCTGTGTGAATGCGAGACGTTGCTGGAGTACATTACCGTGTTCGTGTACTCGTTGCTGCGACCAAACGCGGGTCGGCAAAATAATCGGCGTGTGGGGTGGCCGACGACTGTGGGGGCCTTGGCCGGGTCTTTGGCTAATATTGCCTTGGCCCGTTGGTCGATTTACGGGCGTCTATCCGCCGAGCTTGTCGCGCGGATCGCTGTTCGCGCAGGAACACGGGGTGAATGTGAGGTAATTTGAAACGGACTTCGGCTTCTGACAACCATCGCGTAGATGAACCGTCTGCGACGGCAAGCTGTCGTCCGCCCTTCGTCCATTTCGATTGCACCACCTGTGGTGCGGTCGAGTGCAGTGTAAACGACGATGGGGATGGCGCTGTCGATTCTGCGAGCAGGGGTGCTGGGAGCGTCACCCCTACTTTAGGAAGGACGCGGAATCCTCTAGAGGATCCGCGGCAGGCTGGGCGGCAGGCTGGGCGGCAGGAGTCGGTGCGGTCGATGACGGTGGACCGCGACCGTGGGTATGGGGGAATGAAGGCGGAACCTGCAGCGGCGGCTCCGGTGCAAGGTCAACGTCCAATGCTACCGGCGTTTCGGACGGAGCGCGCCTGGCTGAGGGCGGAGGCAATGGAATGGAGGGAAATCCTGGAAGAGCGTTCCAATCGGTGGGAATTTCGAGTTTGTAGGAAGTCGAACTCACGACATCAAGAACGGCAAACGGGCCGTGCTAAGTGGAACGCAGTTTGACATTCGCGCTGGTTCCAGGGGCGCGTGCACTAAAGGCGTGATCGGGGAGGGCCGATTTGTGGAGGAGGACAAGACCGCCGACAGAAATGGCCGCCAAATTGGAAAACGACCACGGCGGTCGGATTGCGTCACCTGCCGCTGCTGAGCGAGTACGAGGTTGTCCTTGATCTGTTGCAACACAGATGTACGACGGACAAGGAAGTCCGTCAAGTCCTGGACGGAACGCGCTGGAAGGTCGCGGGTTTCGGCGATGGCTTCGACCGCCGGAGAAGTAGCAGGAAGCTTATCCACCCTGAAAAGGGACTGTCGAGGAGTTGAGGAGTACGAGGGTGCTGTAAGTGGACAGCATAGTGGGGTGAGACGCCCATGGAAGCCTGGACGGACGTGTTGTACGCAAAGATGGCGTGGGGGAGGAGCGTGGCCCACGAAGCGGAAGGTTGGTCTTCAGAGTACGCGCGGAATATATCTTCAAGCGCGCGGTTGGCACGCTCGGTTTGACCATCCGACTTGGGGTGGTCGATCGTAGACATGGCAAGGTCGGTGCCACAGAGCTCGAACTGAGCCGACCAAAAGTGGGAGGTGAAACGGGGATCGCGGTCCGATACGATGGATCGTGGAAATCCAAAGCGACAGAAGACATGGTCGAAGAAAAGGCGAGCGGCGTCAACGCCGCTGATGGACTCCTTGACAGGGACGACCACGATGTACTTGGACGCCCTGTCGGCGCAAACCATGATACCTGTGTGACCACGAGCGTCACGCGGAAGACCAAACATAAAGTCCATGCTGACCGATGACCAGAGCTCATCGGGAATCGGTAGAGGCTGTATCGGCGCCTGAGAGGAAGACGCGACCTTGGTGCGTTGACAAGCGTCGCAACGAGCGACGTAGCGGGCGACAGCTTTGTATTGGCGAAGCCACCAATAGGAACGGGACAACGCAGCGTACATTTTATCGCGGCCGAAATGGCCGCCACTGGGTGAATCATGATACGCGCGCAGAAGGGAGGCACGAATCGCAGAATCCCCAGGGACAACGATGCGCGGAGGCGTGTCGTGGGTGGGCTAGAAGTAGAGTAGGCCATCGCGAACAGAGTAACGATGGTGTAAGGACGGTGATCGCCGAGGCTTGAGCGGCTCGGGAGTGGTGAGGGCGCTGAACACGGCCGAGCAAGTCGCGTCGATGGAATAGGCAGCTCGGATGCGGACATGGAGATCGGAGTGGAGGAATCCGATCGAGGCAAGGTCGACAGACGAGGAGTAATCTGGACGCCGAGAGAGCGCGTCAGCCAAAACATTGTCCTTGCCCGGTTTGTATCGAACCGAGAAATTGTATTCGGCGACGAAGGAAAGCCAGCGAGCCATGCGGGCTGACATGTGGGGCGTTTTGACGGCAGTTCGCAACGACGCGTGGTCGGTGTACACGACGAAGGGGTCCGCGCCGATGAGGTAGAAGCGGAACTTGGTGAGGGCGTATTTTATCGAAAGGAGCTCGAGATCGTGGACGGGATACGAGCGCTCGGCGGCATGGAGCTGGCGACTTTGAAAGGATACAGTGCGCCAGCGACCATCAGCGTCAGGTTGCATCAAGCAACAACCGATGGCATATTGGGAGGCGTCACACACGACGTGAACGGCTTGGTGAAGTCAGGGAGCGCCAAAATTGGGGTGCTCTTGATACTAGATTTGAGGGCATCGAAGGCGGATTGACAGTCGCTCGACCAAGCCCAT